TTCATATTCTTCAATTTCTTCCAGTCTTGCCTTCTTCCACTTTGATCTGGCATTTTTTGAGCACTCAGAGCTTCGACGGTTCGCAGATTCGATACGTCGGTCGTCGCGTCTTTTAGCAAAGTCGATCGCTCCTGGCCTAATTTTCATGCCCATCGTTTCCTTCATCTTCATCACTGTTCGGAATCCTTCCTTGAAGATACATGCCGAAACTTTGCACGCAATTTCAACAACTTTTCTGCCGTTAAACATGTGTTTAGGTGCCATGTGCCTTAGATTTGAGGTACTTTGACCAGTCGATGGAACACTTAGAATGCTTCGGCTTGGCATCAGTCGAAATTTTGTGGTAGTATCCTGCCCAAATCTCGTAACGCATATCCTATGAAGAATTCAAATTTCTTCTGACTGCTAAACCGTAGATCTCTGAGAGTTCTTTCATCAATTTGATTGTAAATTTTTAGTTTTTACTTCAGGAACTTTTTTCACAACAGTCGTTTTTCTTTTCACTACTGTTTTTGCTACGGTTCTTATTCTTTTTTTGGCGGTTAGGCGTTTTTCTTTTAAATTTTCTTCTTTTGTATGAGAGCTTTTCTTGCCTTATTAGCGCGCTTAAAAATACGTTTTGCCACATGCAAAATACACTTCAACTTTTTAACAATGAAATCTTTACCGTATGGATGATAATAAAGCAGCATTTTAAAAGTCTTGGAGTCTCCGTAGCCGACATAAGAACCGTGCGCGCCGAACGCTCAGGAGAGCGGTCCGAGATAGTAACGTTCAGGCAGCAAAAAAATGTAGTTAGAGACATCGGATCTTTTTGAAATTTTAACACAATATTTCTACATATATATACATTCGAAAAATGTAAAAAAAAAAATTAAATTTTTTAAAAATTGCAGAGTAGAACGTCCCCTTAATTCGTTTCATTTTGTTTAACGTTACAATACTTACGTTACTTACTTGTTATTTGTTCAATTTTTCAATTTCTAATATCCAAATATATACTTTATATAAGTTATAAAAAAAAAAATAAATGTATAGTTATAATTTATAACTATTAAAATATGGTGTTTTAAAACTTTACCATTGGTGAATAAACAATATATGTTAAAAATAAAAAAAATAAAAATAAAAAAAATTATTTGATCCGTTTTGCAGTGAACAAAGTAATAGTAATTGGATTATTAATTATATTACAATGTATTAATACGCCGCTCACAAGATCCACATTGCCCGAAAAAGTATTCAGTCCCCAGCGACCGCTACTGCTGGCCGCACGCCGCACACGCTAAGCGTTTCGACTTAGAGTAGCTAGCAGTCAAAGGGTTAATCCTTTTCAAGCACTATATGGCAACCTAAATTCGGACGTTAACAATAATCTACCCTTAGAGAAGGAAAATCTTATACATAATGAACAGTATTATGAACTAATGAAAATGGCAAACCAAAAACTAAAGGAACTTTTAATTGGAGAAAAGTTGTTGTTTCAAATAGATTTAAGATTAAAGCAAATCATTGGTAATTTTGAAGTAAATTTTGGAGGACTAAGTTTAATTTTGATTGGTGATCTCTACTACCAGCTCGTGCTACTCCTATTTCTGAAAAAATATAGCAACAAATAGCTGGTCTAACACTATGGCGAGGGTTGAAATTTTTCGAACTAAGCGAAATAATGTGACAAGCCAATCAAACTTTTCCAATAATATTAACAAAAATTGGTGATGGTCAGTTATTAGACGAGAACGAGTTGCAATTAATTAAATCAAGATTTTATTCCGAAAAAGAAGCACATATAATTTGTCCAGACAGTATACGATTGTTCTTTGATAATCATTCAGTTGCTGAATACAAAATAAAGTTTTAAATCCTGCTGTCGAAAAAGTAATTTCAGAAGCAACAGATCAACAATCTTTGCTCAACGACCCAGTACCAATAATAAGTCACTCAAAAAATCCTATATTTCAACCTAATAAAACACTCGTTGTAAAACGTTAACCATTTCCCACTGATCTCTGTGTGTTCCATAACAATTCATAAGTACCAGGGAGGTACATTTAGTGAGATTGTATATGAATATAACAAAACACACACTCAACAGCTCCTGCACGACTCTTACATTTTGTTACGAAAAAAAATAATAGAAAATTTTATCATGGTCGAAGAGCAATAGTATCCACAACTGAATTGCGATCTGAGCTTGAAAGACTGAACGTGAATCGACTTAAAACTATTGATAAATTATTGTATGATTTTATAAATACAAGTAAAGGTTTGTCAATGTTTACCTTTAACTACCAAAGTTTACGAGTTTATGCACAGGATCTTCAATTAAACAGAATAACATCGTCGTCGAATTTTCTTATTCTTTCCGAGACATGGATAAATAATAAAGACATTATAGATAGTATGTGTAATTTTTATAAATGGAAGCAATATTATAACAAATAAACCCTACTATTATTCTATTTTTTATGCTCTGGATTTGTCTCATTTTCTCGAAGTTTTGTTTTTTTGAAGGTTTCATTTCTACCGTGTTGTGATCTGCACACACACATCTGTACTTTTTTTATATCTCCTGTTATCAACTTTTTTTATAATAATTTATAAAAAAAGTATATATAGAAAAGTATAAATAATAATTTATAATTGATTTGGTTAAAGCAAGATCAAATGGCCTGGACGACAAGTCAGGCAGAAAAGGCTTGGAATGGAACAATAATGTTTGACTCCTTATATACTGCTTTCGCAATTTTCCAATTTCATATCAGAAAAACCCAGCGCATTTGAACAATATGGACAATTAATGGCGGATTCACAATGTGTGCAAAACGCCTTCAACTTTTCAGACAAATGTACGTGGTATCGTTATACTTTTCATGTATATGTTACCGCTAAATCTTTAAAACCATTGAAGTACACATTACCTATATAATTTGTAGATTAACCCCCCCCCCCTTAACACAGTTTTTTTTTGTTAAAACCGGCCAAAAACACATTTCAGGACATTGTCTTGGCAAAAAAATTAAAAGAATACAAAATTAATCAAAATTTTTATAGCAGAATAGAATACAACGCCGTTCGAGTTAACTCGAGCGTGCAACTTAAGGGATTAAGTGATTTGCTCCTTTAACATGCAAAGTCAGAAGTTTTTTTTGCATTTTACCTAGGTAATGTACACATTAACGGTTTCCATATAATTAACCCATTCAAGATGGCAATTTTTTTCAAATACAGTTCCCGAGAGCGAAATTTATTTTTTTCTTTACATCGTTCATTTTTATTAAAAAAACTTATTTACTATGAAAATCAGATTCAATTTGTAAATGAATTCGGATAAATAAGATGATTGTTCACTGTGTGTGCAGTTCGCTCTTTAGAAAATTTTTATTGCAAGGAGCGGATTGAACACCATGTGTGCAATGTAAGATAAAATAAAAATATGTCATTAAAATCGATTAACATTTATTTAAAAAATAGTTAGATAATATAAAATCGTTATTTTGCTTTCAATAATGAAGAACGGAATATAACGCAAAGAAAATTGTTAAGAAATAGTAAAAAGTCAAAAAAAAAAATAAGTTGAATAATGAAGAAAATGAGAATATATTTTATATAATAATTATATTAAATAATAAATGAGAAATAAATTTTTAGAAAAATGTCTAAAAAGAAAATAACAATAATGTAAGAATGTATGTATAATTAACCTTAACGGACGGAATGTATGGTCAAATTATTAACCCTTTCGCTACGGGGCGGATCTCCGCCGAGGTACTCCCGCAGTACGGCGCGCTACACCGAAACAGTGCACGGTGCACGCAACGTTCGAGCCGGTGTCGTAAGATTTATGATCGAGGCATTTGGTTTATTATTGAAGCCCGTAAAAAACAAATGATGCAAAACGAAAGACTCATGCGGCATGTTTAGAGTGAGATACTCTGTGCATAGCAACTGCAGGCGCTTATCATATATACAATTACGCGACATCTTTAGCGGGAGCGACTATAGTCACCCGTAGTACCTGAGCGGCATCACATGGAGAGCGACTATAGTCGCTCGTAGTAGCGAAAGGGTTAAGTAATAGTATCCCAATAATTAATAAAAACATATAATTTATAAATAAATTTTTTGGAAATAGTAAACTGATCATAAAGTAAAATTGCATTGACATTTTATAAAAATGTCAATTTTTATAATTGAAATAAAATTTTTTTTTTTAGTATGTATGAAATTCAATGCTAAATTTTATTTTTCTATACAGGTAACCCTCCTAAAACACGGTAGATAGATTCCTAGAAAATGCCGTGTTGTGTGAAACCATGCTGTATGAGACTTTTGTTTTCAGGCCATGGAGATGAAAAGAAATACTTTTCGCAACACTGTATCTTTAAGACGGCAAGCTTCGCCGCGGCTATAGAAGTACAGTGTTGTACGAAGATTTTTTGAAAGGAAACCATGTTATAGGATGCCGTATTGTAGGAGGTTTCTCGCAATTTATGGATTGTGTTATAGCGAAATCGTATTATAAGATGCCGTTTTGTAGGAGGGCTACATGTATTTTAACACGTTGAGCGCCACGTTAGCCATCGGTGGCTGACAGCGTATAACATGTTACATTTAAGCAGCGCACGTGGCCTGACTGGGACTTCCTTGGAAATGAGCGTGGCGCTTAACGTGTTAAAGATACTATTCATACAAAAAAAAGTCTTATCTTTACTTTACTTTACTTTACTTTACTTTACTTTACTTTACTTTACTTTACTTTACTTTACTTTACTTTACTTTACTTTACTTTACTTTACTCACAATCAGAATAACTGATAATAGCTCATTATTATTATTATTGCACATACCGTGCGCAATTGGTCTTTTTGACATAAAGTATTTGCACACAACAATTATGTTTTCGCTAAAATAGAAAAAGATATTATCAAAAAATAATAAATTAAGTTTGATCTCGAAAATCTTTCAAAAGAAAAATAAAAGAAAAAGAAAAAACAAAAAAAAATACTCAAACTACTCTATATTTCTAGAAAAGACGATAAAATAATAAAATTAAGATATTGAATACAATTGATAAAGGTTTTATTAATAAGTATAATTTAATTTACATTACTGAAAGTTAAACAAAAATAGATATTTATAATCGAATTGTGCTTTTTTTCGTAGTCACAAGAAAATCGGGGTTGATTGAATTGTATTTCAATTTAATGTTTTCCTAATGATACAATTTATTTCACGTCTCACGACATAATCAACGAGTGTGTTTAGCATTTTGCGTATTATTATTTCGATTGATATTTTTTTTATTGCAAATTAAATGTTTTTAAAAGACTAAGGGTTGTAAATATTTATAAGTTTCATAATTTTTTAATATATGGCAGTGCTAACCATAAGTCAGTGTATTTAACACTTTAACGGTTTTTTTTTTTAATTTAAGTTAGATAAGCATCCAATAGAAAGCGCTATATTCAATTCCAAACATTTCTTTGGTGCTACAGTGTATTTCATGTTAGATGTATTTATCAGATTTACATATGACATAACCTTGCTTTTTCAAGTTTTTTTTTGTATTATTATTTTATGTGTTCCATTCTAATTGTGGTATCATTTTGTGTTTTTATATTTTTTTACTACAAAGTAATAATCATAGACAATATTTTGTTTATAATTTTAATTTATTATTTTTTAATAATAAATCAAAAACATATAAATATTACTTTCTTGATTCATATTTTCTTAATCTGATTTTATTTTAATTGGTTTGTATTATTTTATTATTTTCAGTAATATCATGCCAAAAAAGTCTAATCTCGAGAATTCGGCAGGAAACGTAGCTCAAAGAACTAGATCAAAAATGAATTATTTAAAAAAGTCTCAAGAACAACATGATGAATCTTTGGAAAAGAATATACCGACAAAGCAAACAATGTGTCAAAATTGCCTAACAGTATCTAAAGCACTAATTCAAAAGAGTTCTTACGCACGGACAAAGGAACGTTCTGTCCAACCTCTTATAGTACATCTTGAAAATGTATCTGTACATTACATTAAAGACAATGTTCCCCGAAAAGTACCTGAACCGCCACAAACAACATTAACTGAATTCTTCAAATTGTGTCAAACAACTGATATATTTGGCCTGTTTGCAAGAACATTAATATATACCGATGTTCCACACTATTTTATATGGAATTATACAACTAAAAAATGGGTACCACGTATACAAGGAGAACCACATCCTACAATCGCAAACATTTTCAAAGGAAAAACAGTAGGACAAATTTTCCATTTATATTCAAAACAACCCGAATGCATCTTTTTAGAATTGTTATTGGGAAAAATTCCTGGACCAACGTCTTTCGAATATTTGCGAACAATTAATGGTAAAGTGTTCAGTACATATCAAGATGCATGTCGAGAGTTGAAATTGTTGTAAAACGCTATTCATTGGTCCCTAATGCTTGCTGATGCAGCGTTGACATCTACGCCGAATAACATTTGTCAATTGTTCGCTATTGTTTTGACAACGTATTATCCAACACAATCATTGACTTTATGGGAAAAACATTAAAAATATATGACCGAAGACATACTACACCGAATTAAACAAACAAACCAATATCCAAAAATAGATTATATGCCAAAAATGTACAATGAAGTATTAGTGATGATCGAAAATTTATGTATTTTAATTTCAAATTTGCCACTTAATCATTATAGTATACCATTACCTGATCTTCTGGCCACCGATTTAGTTAACACTGATTTGGAACGAGAAAAACATTATAAAGAAGATAACTTAGCTACAATTATTGTGAATAAACAAAAAAATATTAATAATCAGATTATGCCGGTTATTAATGCTGAATAAGGCAGCTTCTTTTTCTTGGATACATCAAATGGAACTGATAAAACATTTTTATTATTATTGATCCTTTAAAAAATAAGATTACAATAGAAAATTGCATTAACAATTGCATCATTAGGCATTACTGCAACTTTGTGAGATTGTGGACGAACTGCACATTCAGCATTCAATCTGCCATTAGACATTCACAACAAATCAGGTGCATTGTGTAACATTAAAAAAAGAAAAGGAATAGTTACAGTGTTGCAAAGAAATTCAATCATAATTTGGGATGAGTGTACCATGGCCTATAAACATTCACTAGAAGCATTAAATAGACCTATACAAGATTTAAATGGCAACGATAAACTATTAGGTGGTCCTGTCCTACCACTGTCTGGTAATTTTCGACAGACATTGCTAGATATTCCTTTATGTTTTTATGGTAAATTATCGAAACACTTCGATTAACCATAAATGTGCTAGTACAATTGCAAGATGGTCCATCAGCACATATATTTTTTAAGCAACTGCTGGATATTGGAAACGGTGAAGTAGAACTGCATCCCAATACACAATATATCAAATTGCTAGACAATTTCTGCACTATTTTTCAGACAAAATTGAATTGATTAAGAGTGTCTTCCCAGATATACTAAATAATTTTCTAGATCATGATTTACTCAGTAATCATACTATTTTTACAGCAAAAAATTTTGATGTTGACAAAATTAACCTCCAGATGCAATAGTTATTGCCAGATAATCTGATGGCTTTTAAATCAGTCGACACTGTTCTTGATAAAAACAAAACCGTAAATTTTCCAACTGAATTTTTGAATTCATTGAATATATCAGGAATGCCACTACACAATCTTTGGTTGAAGGTTGGTTCACCGGTTATTTTACTATGTAATTTAATTCCATCTAACTTATCCAACAGTACACGTTTGGTCATCAAAAGAATTACCAAAAATGTTCTTAAAGCAACTATTTTGACAGGGAAGTTTAAGAAAGAAATCGTCCTCTTGCCATGCATTCCAATGATACCATCAGAATCTCCAGTACCATTTAAAGGGCTTCAATTTCCAGTTCATTTGGCTTTTGCAATAACTATAAATAACTCTCAAGGTCAAGTAATGTCCATTTGCAGCTTGGACATAGAAAATCCATGTTTTTACCATGGGAAACTATATGTTGCATGTTCACATGTGGGAAAACCGTCAAATTTATTTGTGTTAACGAAAGATGGGTTAATGAAAAAATATTGTACACCGGTTAGCGCTTTATTAAATTAAAATTATTAATTCCTATAATTTAAAGTGATAAAATAAATTTTTAAAACTTGCTAAAAGTCACTGTAATTTACGATATTTGTAAAATGAAATCTTTATATATTTTTAATTAGAAACTTTGTAAATAATTCATGTAATATACTATATTCAAATATGAGTAATTAAAATGTCAAATTAAATATTTTGTTTTGTTGCACTTAATTTCAACTCATCGAAATTATAAGTGAATAATTTTTTAATTGCATTGAAAAGTTTAGTATTATATTAAATCAATGTGTTATAACAAAGTCACAGCAATGTGTTGCCAGGTTAACTAATAGTATATATAATTCTTTTTCGCTTGTCTTAAAATATTAAATAAAGTAAATAAAATAATAATGTTAAATAATAATAAGAAAACCTTATACTAATACTATAATTAATATTAATATTAATACTATTATACTATACTAAAACTCATGTACGATAGCACTTTTATAAAAGATTTATATTCGTTGAAAAAGTTACATCATTTTTGTCAAAGAATATATTTCCAAAATTATTCACATTTATTAATAACAGATGCTAACATCTGTAAATTGCTATAAATTTTTTATGCGGTACTACATCAATTTTGATTTTTGCTGAAGTTTCCGATCTTTTTAAATATTTTTTTAAAATATTTAAAATAAAATTTTTTTAAAATATTTAAAATAAATTTTAAAAATTATTTTCCATATTTTCTTTTAACTAAATAAAACAAATAATAATAATTATCAGTATAATTTTAGCTTTATTTTAATAACCAGATAAAATAATTAATGTATCATACGTATCTGCATAAAGATTCATATTCTTTTAAAATAAGTCTATGAATTATATTTTGTTGGAGAATCAAAGTGCCCGCCTATTTTAGATGCGACCAATCACCGAGGGGTGGCAGACTCTACCGGTACAATTAGTACAATTTAGGGATCCTTCCCTAGTACAATTTGTGGCGGCAGTGCTTTGTTATCTGACCGTAGGCTATGAATAATCCCCATATAAACTGATAATTACGATTTTTGGTAATTAACGAAAACACGTGATTAGTAACAACCAGGTTTTATTTATTTAAAAAAAATCACTATAATTATCCACTTGGAAAGGTACATCTTTACTCTTTGAGATGACGACAAAGAAGAAGGTTATATAGGACATATATATATATAAATCATCAAACTTTCATGTGTACTGATTTTTGTCTCTGAATATCTTTTGAACGCTTAATTAATTCGCCAAAACATAAGACACCATTTTTATAGAGCAGTTAATTTCCTACAAAAATTTGTATTGCGCATCTTATAATAGTCATTTATTGTCGAGTTATAAAATTCATAAACAAAAATGAAATTTGTCTAAAAATCATCAAATATAAATCTTCAATATCATGCAAATGGTGAGGTTTACAGAAAAAATATATGATATCTTTTTTGTAGAGCATTAAATTTCCTACAAAATTCTTCCAAAACATTTTTGTGTACAATCAATTAATGATGACGTATGAATTTTAATCTATTAGACTGAGAAAAAAATAAAAAACTGCGATGCGGAGGATTTTCCTATTAAAATTAAGAGCTCATATTTTGTGAGAATTTGTTTAAGGTGTCTAGCAAACCCATTTTTCCGTAGCACTTGTAAAAAAAAAATAATTGATTTTTTTGACCCGCCCTAATATATATATATATATATATATATATATATTTAAAAAAACGGTGACGGTAAGTCACCTTATAGGTATATATTTTCAGTGCATTAAATAAATATGTCTAATGGTTATTGTACCACCGTTGGTACACGTGGCACGGAACATGTTAATTATAATTTATATTATTAATTTCTGTTATATTTTATTATTTAATATTATTTATTATATATAATTAATAATATTGTTAATTATATATGGATTAATAATATAATGGAAATTAGCACAAGTTCGCATGACTCAGTGAGGCAAATCATCATCCAGTAGTAATGTCCATCCAGTAATCGTATGTTCCCGAATTCAAATCCCGGGAGTGAAAAAAAAAATTATACGTCATAAACTACTAAGAAATTCGTCAACAACATCGACATATGTATGACATCATTGCTTTTTTGTTCTTTTGTTTCGTCAGGTCAGCTTAACGTCATATTTATTACGTAAAAGTCTTACGTCAATAAGTGTGAAATAAGGAGTCACATGTGACTCATATCTGACTTATATCTTACGTAAATCATGACATCGCGCAAAATCATTTTGACGTCATTTTGACGTAATTGTGTTCACTGGGATTCACCACAGATGGTACTTGTATACACATCATTTCGATGCCGCGTATATGTGGCCCCCGTACCTACAGGTCGTCCAGTGGATGTCGTATATTAGTCTAGTCAAAATAGCCGTGAAATCGGGTTTTTGGCCTATACGGCTAAAAAAATATGGAAATAAACAAAAAAATGCGTACAAAACTGTGGGCAAAGTAAAAAAAATCTCAACCACCGGGAAAGGGGTGAAAAAAATTAAAAACTACCCTAAAATACGATTTTTGGATTATATCTTGAAAATATCAAAAAAAGTTTCAATTAAAAGTTGTAGAGCATAAAATTTTAGGCCTATCTCTGTCAGACCATTTTTCCCCTAAAACGCACCCTTTCACCCCTACGACGGTTCAAAGTACTAAATAAGTGAAAATTCAATAAAAAATATAAAAATTAAACTTTTTTTTTTAATTATCTTTAAAAAACTACAAAGAACAATCGTAGGGGAAAAAAATTATTTTTTTTTTCATCCCTTCTATTAAAAATCAAGGGGTGAAAACGGTTTTTGCTCGATATTTCGCTTAAAACGGGTCATTTAAAAAAATATTCTTTTTCATATGAATTTTTAATTTATTTTTTTAATTTTGGTGTTAGATTTATATTTATAGATATTTACCTGCAGGAAATATCTCAATTTAGAGACAGGTAATTAGTGCCTTAGTCCTACGCCTTTGTAGAAAGAAACAGAAAATGAAGCTATCTTGCTCTTACTCATTGTGACATAAGTCGCCATGGCACGAATGCGCAAACTCTAGCTTACATGCGTGCAAGAGAGATAGACAATGTATTGTTGGCTTCGTCTCAATGTAAACAGTATAACGCGATAAAACACTTTTTCTTAAATATATTCTCTTTTTCTTATATATTCTCTATAGCTCAAGAGTCTCGCGCGCATCTGTGACAGCATGATAGATTTTTGAAAATATCTCAAAAAGTAAGCGAGATAAA